GGTACACGTCTAGATACGTGAGACACTCGTATTTATATCCCATGAACTTGTTCTCACCAAGGCATGTGGTACAACACGTTGACTCAACTATATATATATATATATATATATATATATATATATATATATATATATATATATATATATATATATATATATATATATATATATATATATAGCCCGCGTGCAGGCCCAAGGGAACTGATAGTGGGCCTGTAAGCAAGGCCCGGTATTTTGTAAAACGCCCCTTTTCATAACACGCCCCATTCGCGCGTCAATTGTCAAAAAAGAACCAATGACAGCAACCCAAATATTAACAAACAAACTCGCATTAAAATGTTGCGGGGTTTTCTCTGCTTTAATATTCAAAATAGAAACAATGTGTAAATGCCAGTGTTAAAACTCAAAAAAAGCAAGCAACGCAGTCAGTAATTGCCAAATTTAAAACTAAAATCGGAACAGGCAAATTAAGACGAATTTCAACAGAAAACCAGTCTCAAACTTCAAATCGTGAGGGAAGTCGTGCGACCACATCAGCATTTATAATGTGTGCTTCGCTGTCGCCATTGTTATAAATAAATTGTCTCACTTACCAGATCGTGTGTGCAATTCTTGTTGGCGGCGGAAAGTACGAAATTTATTTATTTCAGTTATTTCGTTTGGTATAAAGGAACTCTAAAAAAGAAGAGAGCGTTCAGAGTCCAGATCGTTTCGTTTCAAACGGCAATTTAATACCGTCTTCTGTTTCGCTCTCTCAGCGAAGCCTTGTAAATCGCAAAGTGTTTCGAATAGGCTTACATGTAACTGCATCTCAACATCAACCAAAAGATAATTTTCTTGAGGAACATATAACGTATCAAGTCTGTTTGAAATTAATGAAACTCAAGTAAAGGTTACTATAGTTTACCCCAGTCGTAATGTTGCTATTCCAACAACTCACGACAAGCAATCCCCATTGGCATAACGGCAAAAACATCTCTTCCTTCTAGTAAATAATAAACAGTCTGTTCTTGTTCCATTTATAATCGAAAAAAGTGATCAATTTTCGAATTTTGAGCTTATCGAGAGCCTTTGTGATGAATCACTGACCTAAGTATAGAATCCAACAGCAAACAGCCAATCAGAATGCCGCGTTCGTGGGCGAACGCGGAAAGTACAAAATACCGGGCCTTGCTTGCAGGCCCACTATCAAGTTTCCTTGAGCCTGCTCCCTTGGGCTTGCACGCGGGCTACTTTCGTATCGAGCACTCTATTCGTATGATTCGACACTCAATATATTTATTGACATTCGGCTATATATATATATATATATATATATATATATATATATATATATATATATATATATATATATATATATATATATATATATATATATATATAAGATTTGGTTTCGTTGGTTATAAAAACTTTTGGTAAAGTGCTCAATGGAAAACCAGAGCATATTTTTTTTTTTTATTTTGCCACATTTTGTGGTACGAAACTATTTAGTAATAAAGATGCCTAGTGGATTTTTTTGATTGTTGTACCTTAATATATATATATATATATATATATATATATATATATATATATATATATATATATATATATATATATATATATATATATATACAGCTAATTCAATAAAGGTTGTCCTTTGCAAACCTTAAACTCTAAAACCTTAAACCTTAAACTCTAAGCGCGCAAAGCGTAATGGGAGCACTATTTAAGCAGTTTAGAAAGCATACATGAAGCCCATTTCTTAGAGACATGTAAACAAATATGTGCCTGCGAAAACCATAGATATCTTATATACACTAGATAGTGCATCTAATTATTCTGCAATTCAAAAATTGAAGCCGTGATTGCAGTCTCAGGTCGTTCCCATGAAATTAGAAGATTCGTATATTTTCTATTTCTTAAACAGGGAACTTGAACATTAAGTTAACTCTATTCCAAATTCGTTTTTATAATATTCAAATGATGAAAGTTATTGTTGTTTTTAAGCGTTTATTAGCAAGTGGGAACGACCAACATGGCCGCCACCTATTCAAATGGGGGTAACCGCTGGAATATACTTGGATTCAATTTTACTAAAAGAGATGCGCCATCTAGTGTATATAAGATATCTATGGCGAAAACATTTCACTCAGAAACAGCTGCAATATCCAACTACAAAGCTTGAAATCAGTAAATCAGTACTCCCATTATGCTTTGCACGCTTAGAGTTTAAGGTTTGCAAAGGACAACCTTTTTTGATTTAGCTGTATATATATATTTAGCTGTATGTATTTAGAATCATATATGAGTAGAGTGCTCGATATACCGAAGTATAGAGCTAATAAAGTAGAGTGCTCGATATACCGAAGTATAGAGCTAATAAAGATAAAGATAAAATAAACCTGGTTCACTTAATAAGATTTATTCACTACAAACTTGTTTCGTATGACAAGCAATGCTTGCCACACTCATCAGGTGAATTTAAAAATTAT